TCTGTGGGCACAGCGTGGTGCGGTGAGAAGGACCCCTCGCTGCCCCTGCCCCCCAGCCGGCCCCCGGAACCGCTACCTGGCCCGGCAGTGGGTGGCAGCGAGACGTTCCAGGCCTGCGGGTCCTCGTCCAGGGACGCTGGGGAATCAGACGGGGCAGGCGAGGGTGGGGGCGGCACGAAGTTGGACAGCGGCAGCCCCTGCGTGAAGGACTCCAAGCACATGCTATCGAAGAACCGAGCCGCCAGCAGGCGCGACTCCCCGCTGCTCAGGTTCAACGTGGGCCCCAGAGAGCCGTTGGCCGGAGACTTGAGCACGCAGGTGGCGCCCACCCCTGACGGCAGCCGGAATGTGCTCACGAGCTGCTGGGGGCTGGCGTCGGGTGACAGCCGCAGCCTGCGGGCACCCACAGTGTGAGGTGGGGCTGCCCGTCTCTGCTCCCTCGCCCACTCCACCCACCAAGGCTGCCCCCGCCAGCGGCCTCACCGGTACTCGCGGCGCTCCTCGTTGGCGTAGGGGATGAAGTTGCCACGGGGCTGGGTGTAGTTGTGGTACTGGGAAGGTGACAGGACCAGTGGAGGCAGGTCACCTGGCAGGGACAGCACGGAGGCCTGAGCAGGTTCTGCCCACTGGCCAGCAGCCCCCAGGCCTCGGTCCCCTTCCACCAACCCCAAAGGATCCACGCCTGGGATCTGGGCCCCGAAGAGGCAGGACTCCCGGATGAACCCCGGCGTGTGCCCAGCCTCAGGTGCGGGGTGAGGCCCAGAGTCAGGAAGCTTGGGAGAAGGCATCCTCAGGGCTCCCGGTGGAAAGGGGGGACATAAGCCCGGCACGCCCGCCCAGCTGGTGGCCTACCAATCTCGGGGACGGACAGAGCCACGGTCATGGCCACGCAGACGAAGAAGGCCGGCAGCAGGATCTGGGAGAAGAGTGCCTTGGAATTGCGGCGGGCACAGTGGAAGCGTTTGACCAGCAGCCCGTGGAACTGGCGCACCTTCAGCCACCCGCCATCCAGCTTGCGGCTGCCCTGGCCAACCCTCGACAGGGCCTCCGCCTCAGCCTCTGTGCAGACAGGTAGGGGCTGAGCAGGTGGCTGCACGCTACCCTCTCCCCACTGGCTGCCCCCATGCCGCTTCCCTCTAACCCCACTCCCCCTCCCCGGCTGCCCCGGCCTCACCCGGCCACCCCCACCTTGCAGGCTGACGTTGTCTGGGTCCTGTGGGTTATCAAACAGGGGGCGGTAGTCGCCATAGACGTCGGTGTAGCCAGCTCCCTCGTCACCACGGGCAGAGCCCACAGATGATGCTGACTGCAGCGATGCCTGTGACTGGGCCAGCTCCGAGCACCGGGCCAGGTTGCCGGCGTGACCCTCCCCAGACACCGTGCCCTCCGCCCCGGGGAGCACGTCCTTCCTGGACTCCTTCACATCTGCCGCAGCGGAAGGGCCGAGGGGATGCTCAGAGTTACTGGCCCCTAGGCCTGCCCGGGACCCCCATGCCCGGTCTTTAACCAGTTCCCAGGGTCATACACCTGTCCGGGACCTCTGGCCACCATGACCACCCACCCAGGACCCCAGGCTAACCCTGGGGATGCCACCCAGGATCATGGTGGCGCCCCCAGACACCAGGCAGGAGTGACAGCACAGGCCCGAGCTGGGACTTTGTGGGTGGGGTGGGCTGAGCAAGTGGCCCGGGCCCCTCACCGGCCTCACTGTTCTCCAGCGACTGATCCTCCTCTGACACCTTGAGGAACACCTCCTCCAGGGTGGTGTCCATCAGTCCAAAGCTACTGAGGTGCAGCGCGTCCAGGCTGCGCTCCAGGTGCTGTGGGGGCAGTGGAGGGGGAGACTGCGGCAGGGACGCCCAGGCAGGGGTGCGTCCACCTCCACCGCCTGCAACTGCCCCCCAACCCTTATGCCCTGGCCTGCTTTTGGCCCTCACACCTGGAAGAGGCGCTCGAAAGCCCCCTTCTTGGCAGCCTCGCTGGGCAGGACGTAGGAGAGCTCCGTGCTTGTGTCTGAGACCAGCAAGCAGGAGGCCACGTGCTTGCGGATGAACTGGGACACCTGGAGCTCGGAGCAGCTGCTCAGCGGGGTGCGACCTGGGGGGCTGGATGCCAGCCCTGGCTCTGTGGGGGATGTGGGAGCAGGGAGGAATTCACTCAGGGGCTAGGGGGAGGGACCCCCGATGGGAACCCAACTGAGTCAAGATATGGGCGTTGGAGAGGGCTGGCCAGGCCCCAGCAGGTATCCCGGGCCCAGTGGGTGACGGTGAGGACCCAGCCTCTCCAAAATATGGGCGTTGGAGAGGGTGGGCCAGGCCCCAGCAGGCATCCTGGGCCCAGCAGGTGACAGTGAGGACCCAGCCTCTCCAAGATACGGGTGTTGGAGAGGGTGGGCCAGGCCCCAGCAGATATCCTGGGCCCAGTGGGTGATGCTGAGGACCCAGCCCCTCCATCGTGGATTCTCAGGTGGGGTCCCGGGGAGGGGGTGGCCCGAGGCCAGCTCAGGCAGCTTCAACACAGACCTTGGGGGCCCCCCGACTCGGCAGGCCGCTTGACCAGCGTGAGGCGGTACCCATCACCATAGGTGCCCTTGAGGAAGAGCGGGGAGCCGCAGCACTTGAGCTTCCCGTGGGAGATGATGGCAATGCGGTCCCCAAGCAGGTCAGCCTCGTCCATGTGGTGGGTGGACAGAAGGATGGTGCGGCCTAGGGCAAGGCCAGACCCAGGGTCAGGGGGCAGGGAAGGCACCGTCTGCACCCCTGCCTGCACGGCACCCCTGCCTGCACGGCACCCCACTCACCCGGCTTGTACTTCAGGATGAGGTCCCAGATGGCGCGGCGCGCGTAAGGGTCCACGCCCGCCGTGGGCTCGTCCAGGATGATGGCACGAGAGCCGCCCACAAAGGCGATGGCCACGGACAGCTTGCGCTTCATGCCACCCGACAGTGTCTGCACCAGCGAGTGCCGCTTGTTGGAGAGCTCCAGGTCCTCGATCATCCTGGGACAGGGAGGTGTGGCATGGGGCTGGGGCTATGCACAGCCCCAGGGCCTCTCCCCACCCGCTCCGCCCCACCCTGTGCCCACCCACTTGTCCATCTCTCTGCGGATCTCCTCCTGGGCCATGCTTTTGAGCCGTGAGTAGAACCAGAGGTGCTCCTCCACCGTGAGCCGGTCAAACAGCACGTTGTGCTGCGGGCACATGCCCAGGTTCTTGCGGATCTCATCCATCTCCGTGCGGATGTCGTGCCCATAGATGGTGGCGGAACCCGACGTCGGAGGGAACAGGCCGGTCAGGATGGACCTGGGTAGGTGGGTGGGGTCATGACCCCACGCCCTCTGCAGGGGCCCCACTCTGCCCCGACTAGGACTCCTGCTCTGGTCAGCAGATGCCCACGGCCTCGCCCCTCTGAACACTCACATGGTGGTGGTCTTGCCCGCCCCGTTGTGGCCCAGGAAGGAGACCACTTGGTTCTCGTAGAGGTTCAGGCTCAGCTTGTTCAGGGCCAGCTTCTTGTCATCCTTGTAGACCTTGGTGAGTTTGTCCACGCAGACTACCAGAGGCAGGTGAGTGGGCTCCTCCTCCATGCCACGTGTCTCCTCTGCACCAGGGCTGTGGATCAGCAGGGTAGGGGCGGCACCAAGGCCACCCAGGACTCCGAACCCAGCGCCCACCCATGCCACCATTCTGGCGCCAGCCTCACCAAAGCGCCGGCTCTCCATGGCACAGGCCTGGTCCTCCTCCATGACACTGAGGCGGGGGGTGCGTGCCCACGGCCAGCTCCACTCCCAGGCTTCTGTCCGCCCACTGCCCAGCCAGTAGGACTTCTGCAGTGGGAAGTACCAGGGCCGGGGCAGCCCGTACATGCCTGGGGGTCGGGGAGGGGAGGGGAGGCTGACCTAGGGCCTGGGGTGACCATCCACCACGTGGGCCATGTGCCCACCCAGGGAGCCACCCATGCTGCATCCAGGAGTGGACCCAGAGCGCTGGCCCCCAACCCTGGCTGGGGACCCCGCCTCTCCCCTGCCCTCCAAGGGCTGGCCAGTACCTGGGTGCACAGCCTCGATGTACCATGTGAGGATGCCGTAGACCACGGCGTCCACCATCAGCATGGTGACGGCCAGGAGCAGGTTGAAGTCATCCCCCTCCACTGGGGACTGGCTGAAGGTGTGCCACTGGATGCCCACGCCAGCCACCTCGTACAGCGCGAAGTACTTGGAGCCCAGGCCAAAGGCCGTCGTGGACATGAGGGACTGAGGAGGCAGTGGTGTCAGCGCGTGGGGTGGCCAGGCAACCCAGCCGCCCGCCTGCCCGCGACTCTCACCGCGATGCACTTCTCGAAGGCCGTGATCTTATCATGCGCCACCTCCTCTCGGATTGCCACATACATATAGGGCACGTAGCTCAGGAAGTAGATGATGCCACCGCAGGCAGAGGCCAGCTTGGCCTTGGAGTACAGCACGGACACCAGGAAACTGGGTGGGCAGGGGCCATGCGCGCCGTCAGCCACCCACACTCCCGGTCTCCTGGGCAAGCCTCTGCCAGGGTCCAGGGGGCTCCGAGAGGGTGTGGGGTGAGCTTGCTGGGCCAGTGCCTGCCCCAGGTCCCTGCCACCATGGCCCGTGCTCACCAGAACATGATGGTGGCCACGGCGTAGACGGCCAGGAAGAGCCAGATGATGACCACGTGGCTGTGCATGAGCACCTGGCCGTACTTCAGGATGGCGGTGAGCGCTGTCACGGAGATGGACAGCTGCACAAAGCCGGTGATGAACCAGGCCACCCAGTGCACCGCGTTGTTCAGGCCCATGGTCTTCATCACCTGCGGGTGGGCCAGGGGCTTGGGGCAGGCCCCGGGGAGGACGCCGCCCCTCCCTGCCAGCCCGCGCCTCCAGGGAGGGTCCCGGCCCGCCGCACCTCCTTGAGCCGGTGCTCCTTCTCCGCCACGATGTGCTGGATGGTCATGGCCACGGAGTAGACCCAGGAGATCACCATGCACAGCGGCATCATGTGCTCGATGACGAACAGGAAGCTGTGAGGAGGCCACGCTCAGGCGCCACTCAGCCCCTGCCCCAGCCCAGCCCCGGGCGCCCGGCACTCACTCATCGCGCGTGTAGCAGGGGTAGGGGAACATCTGCACGTAGCTGCCCGGCTCCACCACGTCGTGCCCCACAAAGGTGTCGATGATGGCGCGTTCCATCATGTCTGTGGGTAGGGGCCGCCATCAGGTGCCGGGCAGGCCCTCCTGTCGTCCCACCTGTCCTCCCCCATGAATCCTGAGGCCGGTCTTCCGGGCCCGCCCCTCACCCTGGATCCAGACGAAGCCGTAGAGGAAGTAGAAGCGGCCGCCAGTATTGGGCCCAGGCCGCCAGTAGGCGCGGCGGATCTCGTTGGTTTTCTCGGTGAAGCTGGAGTTCTGGCGGATCTTATAGTGCACGTGCGGCGGGAGCGAGCCGTCCTTCCGGGTCTGGAAGATCACACCTGGGGCCGGGAGGTTGGGGCGGGGCCAAGATGTAGGGGCGGGGCCAAGAGGTGGGGG